GATCCCAAACATCAAATTACTATTTTTGTTGCTACTTCATAACTTTAATGAATATGTGTTTTCCGATAGTCTTAGGCGAACCCTGTGAAAGCGTCATTCGACCCTCTGAAGGGTTGTGACCCATCCACAGATTGAGAACTGCTGGGTCTAGCTGGACTTAGGTCTTCAGTTAAAAAAAAATTAGAAATATATAGTTCCTTTACATTAAGATGCAGACAGTTTTAGTAATTTCCTTCAGCATGCTTTTTTTTTCATTTTCATAGATGTTTGTATGTTTGTCTTTTTGTCTCTTAGTCTCAGGTGAGAATCTGTGTGTCACTGTCTCATTAATATAGACTCTTTATTCATTTTGTGTGTGTCTCAGTTGCAGTTTTTTCTTACAGCTATTATCTTAAGCAGGCCACTTCTTAATTATGTTCATTATTCAGATTTTGTTGTTGCTGTTGTCAATCACAATTTTTAAAGCCATTTGTCGCATGTGAATAGTTGTTGTTCAGATAAGTAGTCCCAAGAAATGAACTGTGTGAAACAAGAAAGATAGGAGGATATTATGACACAACACCGTGAGCTGCGGGTTTCATTTAGAATGCTTTTCGACTGTGCTCAACATGGTTTGTGTTGTGAACTACAGATTTAGAAAATGGGGAGTAAGTAGCCTGTTGCCACAGAACTTGGTGGTGCCTTGTGCATTTAATTGCATGTATGATTACTGATTTGTTGCCACTGCTGCTTCCATCTATGATGAACTGTACTTCCAGTGAAGGACTGTTTGGGTGCACTTCTGACTGCTACCTTATGTATTTAGTGCATAAGACACGACCACATCCCTGCAGGGACACCAGAGACGTCTTCAGAAAAACAGTGTTTTCTATGTCGGTAATTTTTAGCTTTTAGCCAAGAAGAGGGAGAATTATAAAGTACTTTAATTTATATGAGACTGCATTAGCACAGTGGTTAGACACTGCCAAAGGCCTTGCGTTCAAATCCAAATTGATGCAGATTTTTATAATTGACCTGAGCTCCCAGGTCAACCTGGCATAAAGTGAGTACCAGGAAGATCCAGAGAAGTAGTTACCTCTGGCGTGATGTTGACATCACATCCCCAGGGCTGACTGGTGTAACTGATTGAAAAGGATCCTTTGCTTCCTTTAATGACATGACATAATGTTCAAAGAGTGGTAGGTACACAGAATAAAATGTGACTGCTTTCAAAATTCTCAGACGGGTATTTCTTTAACACTTAGATTCCTAAGTATTTGTTACCTGTGTTAAACATCGCAACTGACTGTCAAAGGTGGAGAGAGCTGATCAGACAGTCCCCAGAAACTGGTGACCCAACGACATGTAGTGTTACTGGATGATGATGATAGTAATAAATGTTTAGATCCCGGGGTCACCACACAGCATTTTTTTTTTTAAATTATGACATAACAAAACATACATTTTCAGTGTGTTAGCTTTTGTAATGTTTGGCATTCATAGATCAGATTACATTAACAATTTATGTCATTTGTTAACAATTTTGCATTTAAAAGTTAATACTAGAGACACCACCCCATGTATTTTTCTTTAAGATAGAGTTAATTTTGTACCAAAAAATTGCACTGTTTGACACATACCAACAGCTATTTCAAAATTCTATAATAGGGCATATATCATTAGACAGGTAGTTTTATTGAGATTTTTTCGAATTTCTGAATACAAAAGTAAATACTAGAATTGCTGACGAGATACGAAACTAAGAAACTACTGACCATACCAAGAGTTTATCGACTCTTTTTGTGTATATGGGCTTTAGATAGTGTCCATGTTTGGCACTGGTAGCTTAATGTTGAAATGAATATGATGTTTTTAATGTCTCTTTGCACTCATATTAATGCTTGGATATTTTAATGGTGACAATTGGTATAAAAGTGCACTTGCTTTCTGATATCTGGTTCTTTGGAAGTTATCAATATATATTTCTTTACGAGGTACATTATGGTAAACACACTGCGGTGTGGCCAGCGCAGCTTTGGGGATCGAGTGTCCTCCGGGATAAGTGGACACCTCTGGGGTGCCCTCTACTGTTAGCAGGAGCATCACAGAGCAGGCCACTCACTTGCCCTAGCAATCGAAAAGGTTGCTGAAGGCTGAGGACATAGTCTAAAGCCATGTGGATGTGGAAAGCAAAGGGAAGCTACCACATTTTTATCCCAAGAAACTCAAAGAAGAGGAGAAATACTGACATCTTGAAAGATCTGAACATCAAGGAAGATTGGCTAATAAACAGCATCCTGTCTTGGAAGCTCACGACTGATTGGACAAAATTATAGCAGAAGGCATGGTACCAGGAAGGAGGGGCAGGGGCTGACCGACATGAAGATGGGCACAGGATATAAGTGACTCCTTACGTATGAAAGTACATGAGGCGGGAAAACTGGCGAGAGACCAAGTTTCTTTCAGGCAGATTGTGATGAGAGCGACGTTCTGTGAAGGATGATGATGATGATATATTTCTTTAAAATTGACTTTTTTTCTGCAAAATTTGTTTCAATTGTTGGAGTGTGTCTTATACAAAAGACCGCCTTATACGCCGACTAATACGGTATGTGGGGAACAAAGGGTTTAGAAAAGCTTATCATATCAAGAGTAACCAGTAAACAGATGTTGGATTGATTGGCACTGAATGAGTTCATGGTTAATTTGCGAAAGACTGCTTGACAGGTGATTCATTTGCTCACATTTACTTATAGATGCTTGTGAAATGGGATGCTTTTGTGATGTGAAGTTGTTGTTTATCATCAGGATGTCAGTGTTTAACTTCCATGTGTGTGTGGACAGACAGAACACTGCTCTTCTGATCCTTCAGCTTCTGCAGGAGGCTTTGTCCTAAGCATAATGATGTTAAGTTTCTTGGAAGTTAAGAAAGCAGGAAGAGAGAGGGATCATGATACATGGGCAACACATAGTCTCTGCAGAAGTGCCCAGGTTTGTAATGTTTAGAGGAGAAATTTCATACCTGGTCTTAATTGGTATCACTGGGATGTGATTCCTATACCACACTATAGCACAATAGTTAGAGGGAAAGGTGCCGACAACAACATTGTTAGCTAGCTAGCAAGTCTGTGGACTTTATAGCATTATCATTGACCATTGTCTTTTTAGCTAGCTGAGGTTACAGCAGACTTAGCAGAGGAAAACACAACATCCATTGAGGCAGCTGATTTACTTGAGGCAGAGACGGCAGATAGAATGAGGCTGGAGAAAGAACTAAGAGAACTTCAGGTATGTTTCTTTCACATACCCAATTGTTTGTCTTATCATACATTTTAGTAGGAAATGTGGTTAGCCATATATATTTTTTAGGCATTTGTCTGCCATATTCAAATAATTCAATTTAGCTATGTGGAAAAAGGTTCCTACCTCATGTTCTTTTGAATACATTTTGTGTGTGGAAATATAGCTCAAGTGACTAATGAGAGCAAAATCATAACAGCACAAAATAGCAGTAAATGGAAGAGATACAATTAAAAATGAAGCAGTTAGAGATAGACCAGAACTAGAAACAGTCATGCAATTTATTGACGAGCATCAGATGAAATAGTTTGGGTATATAATGAGAATTCCCTGGTACCAACTGCCACTGAGTCTCACCGCAGCAGCCAGGGTTTGATTCCATGCTTTGGGAACCAGTTGCAGTAACATGGCTGGAGAAGTAGACTTTTACATTTTACATTATGCTCTATTCAAAGTAAGAAGACATTGGCAAGAACTAAATGATAGTGAATCTACAACTATGACCAGGCTTTGAGAACAGCAAGTGAAAAGAGGTGTGGCCAGACAAGAGCAGCATGCAAGAAACCAACAAAGAACTGGTGTTGTCAACTGTCACATGCTGCAGGATTTACTGAGGAGGGGATCTGAGCACTTATGGACTGAATGGTTCAATGTGCAGTGAGGATAATCTGTCACCTAACTGATTAATACACACAAAGCAAAGGGAAGACTAAACAAAAGATGGAACAACAGCATTCAGAGCAGCCTTGAAGAAATATAGATCAGCTTGTAAAATACATTAGAAAGGGGACACAAATAATCCTTACATCTTTCCCCAAACACTTCAGTGGGTTAACTGGAGAAAAAGAAGATGAAGTTAAAATTTTGTTTAAAAAGGTATCTGTACATTGTTTTTCAATATAGACACTATGTTTGTTAACTCTTTCAATCCCAATCAGTAGTTATTTTAACTCCTATCCCAAAAATATACACTCAGATCTGAAAGTGTTGAGCAGAGACACTGTGAAACAGAAGCAGTTAACCGAAGAATTCAGATACAGAGGATTTAAATAACTTTGGTCTGTGTTAAAAGATTTCTTCTTCTTTCTAGCATTGACTTTCTGTAAACTCTGGTGGAAAGTTCTGGTCATTCATCACTTTTCTGGAGGTTTGAGTTTCACATGATCTGCACTTCCCTAACAGTAGCCAGTTATGGCTAGTACAAATGTTTGATTAACCCAGCCTCATAGAGTGGATTGCAGACTGGGTTTTTTTTTCCTAGCCATTTTCACAGGGGAAAAGGGATTGCGCTGGGAGGGTGGGGGGAGGGGGGGGGGGGGGGGGGGGGAGATAGGAAACATTTACACCACCTCTGTATTCTGTTACTTTAAATTGTAAAGATCTATAATTTCACATCTCTTTGGCAGTAATTCCCATGTAAAAATCAGTATTTTTATTTTTAACATACATAAGATTAATGTAAATTGTTTACTCTAGTAACACAGGCATTAAATGCGGTAAGTTTAGTGTTTCAATTGAAGAGATTCATTTGTTTTGTTTATTATGTTACTCTTGTATGTCCCTGGTGAAATACAGCTAAATATGCCAGGCAACAAACTGTGGGGTCTGTTCTTTATGTCTTCTTTGTTCAAACTTACAAGAAATCATAGCTTTAATAATGTTTTTTGATAACTTTTGTATGTGCTCCTCTGTCAAACAGTAGCTTCATGTTTCTCGTACAGTACTGTTTTCAACATTTGTCTGTTTCTAGACAACTCTGTTTATAAAGCAAAGTATGAACGAGTGGCCAAGGAACTGCAGATCACCAAGAAGCAGCTACAGCAGCAGCACGAGGAGGAGATGGAGCAGGAACTACAGTCCAGGAAACTTATTGAGAGACGGGTAAGGCAACAAAGTTGTGCAGAATTTATTGTTTCAGTATAGGGGAATCACTTGTTTAAAGGCTTTTTATCCTTTGGATCCTTGACTCCTCTTCGAGTAACAGTGCCTCCCATTGCTGTTCTTTCTTACCAACTCTTCCATTGCTGTTAATTCTTAGCAAGCCTTCCATTGCTGTTCTTTCTTAGCAAGTTTTCCATTGCTGTTCTTTCTTAGTAAGTCTTCCATTGCTGTTCTTTCTTAGCAAGTTTTCCATTGCTGTTCTTTCTTAGCAAGTCTTCCATTGCTGTTCTTTCTTAGCAAGTCTTCCATTGCTGTTCTTTCCTAGCAAGTCTTCCATTGCTGTTCTTTCTTAGCAAGTTTTCCATTGCTGTTCTTTCTTAGCAAGTCTTCCATTGCTGTTCTTTCTTAGCAAGTCTTCCATTGCTGTTCTTTCTTAGCAAGTCTTCCATTGCTGTTCTTTCTTAGCAAGTCTTCCATTGCTGTTAATTCTTAGCAAGTCTACCATTGCTGTTCATTCTACGCCAGTCTCCCATTGCCTTCTTTTTCTAAGCCAGCCTACTATTACTGTCCTTTCTAAGCCATTAGCATGTACATTTGTCCAAAGTATTTTGGTTTCCAAGGCATGAATTGTTTAAAAGTGAAGTCAGTATTCTTCCATTTTCAGTGCTTATAGAATATTAGCTTTTGTGATATCACAAAACATGCTTAGAACTTATAAACAAAACAGTATTTTTGGAAAAAGCACCTTTCCAGTAGTTAAATCAGCAGACATTAAGTTTTCACTATATCAGAGTCAGAAGGACATACACTAACAACACAGTTGTAATGGGGGGGATTATGTTAGCAACATAATTGTAAATGTTGTATTCCTTGATAAAGAAGGAGGGAGCCAGTGTGCTGTCATCATAGTTGTATTCTTAGCATAGCTAAGGGGAGGACGAGAAAGAGAGTATGATATTGACATAGTTGTAATTGTATTATTAGGAGGAAGGGAGTACACTAGCAACAAATATAGTTGTAATTGTGTTATCTGCATAGATTTGTAGAGGAGGAAGGGAGTACACTAGCAACAAATATAGTTGTAATTGTGTTATCTGCATAGATTTGTAGAGGAGGGAGGGAGTACACTAGCAACAAACATAGTTGTAATTGTGTTATCTGCATAGATTTGTAGAGGAGGAAGGGAGTACACTAGCAACAAATATAGTTGTAATTGTGTTATCTGCATAGATTTGTAGAGGAGGAAGGGAGTACACTAGCAACAAACATAGTTGCAATTGTTGTATTTCAGCTGTTTGTGGTGATTGTATTCTTTGCCTGGGTAGAAGAGAAGGGGGAGAGTACACCAGCTAGCACCTAAGTTGTCGTATCTCCAGTTCTCACCATAGCTAACTGGAGGAGGGGGTACACGTAGTTGGGAGTGGTTGTAATGTAAAAAAAAAATGAAAACCATATCTTATCTTATCTTCAGTTGCATGATGCAGTAGCAGAAGCAGAAGAGCAAAGAAGACAGGTGCAAGTTGCCAAGAAGAAAGTCCAAAGGTTAACAGCAGAGATGCAGGATTTAAAGTTGCACCTTGAGGAGCAGATGTCGCGCAACAATGAGTTGGAAAGGAAACAAAGAAGGTTTGGTCTTTCTTCCTCTTTGATCTCGTTACTCCATTGACACATGGCATATATGGTACTGCTTAGATTTGTTATAACATTTTTTTTTATACCCCTGAATGATGTCTTCAAGATTATGCCAGTTACCTTTACCTCCAAGAGCATTTCCTGGTACGCATATGTTTGGCTACAAAACACACCATAGAAAGTAATGGCAGCTAGCATCTTCCAGTTGAGTGTGTTCATACATGAATCCAAATATGCTGTTTTCGTTGGTCTTTATTCTGAATGCGAGACAGCTTAATGAGATCAGCACCCCTGGCACTCCTTATTAAGTGCAGAAGACCAAAATAGGGCTCTGCAGACAGGACCACCCATTCTAATTAAGTGGCAATTGATTTTTAAAATGTGAGAATAAAACCATATACCCAGATTACCTCAAGAATTTGAAAAGATATCATTAACGTCACTAGAGACTGGTAAACTTCATTATAATGTGTGGTAGATGTTTTTTAAAACTAGGAGATCCCTTGTGGGGAACAAGAATAGACCTACAATTCTTTAACAAACATGTCATAAGAGGCAAATAACTAAGTGTTTGCTGAAATCAGGCGCATTGGACCAAAAGGGGCAGATATTGCTGTTCGGTTGTAAACCACAAAACAATGTGCCAACTGCCTTTTTAAAAAGAGTTTTCAGAAGAAAAAGATAATTAGTAAATATAGCTGGAGACAGATAAATGTCATTTGGTGCTGATAAAAATCACTAAAGACTATGAGTGAGAAATATTACCAGAGACAGCTTTCTGATTTATAAATTTGTAAAGAAACCTACCCCCCCCCCCCCCCCCCCTTTCCCTTTTTATTTTTTATTTTTTTATGTATCCATTGGCACTCATTTGGTTTTGTGGTCAGCATCACACTTGGTACCTTTACTTCCATAAACATTACCTGGTAACCATTTTAGTCTGGGTCCACCTGACAGCCAAGATCAGTTTTGACACCTTTATGTAAATTCATTATAGTTTGCCACACATATATATATATATATGACTAATCCCAGTTGTTTATTGATATAATTTTGTTTTGATTCTTGTGTTTTCGGTTCAGATTCGACAATGAGCTGAGTATGGCTCATGAAGATGTAAGGGAGGAGAAAGCTCTGAGAGATAAGTTGCAGCGAGAAAGAGATGAACTGCTGGCAGAAAAATATTCTCTGGAACAATCCTTTCAGGTATTTATTTTGATTACTCAAACTGTGCTAAGATATGAGTTGAGTTAGGATTTGGGTTATCTTCACGGCACTCGGTACACATACATTCAACATATACATCAGCGTCCTGCGGTGGATAGTCCCTGTCCCATGTTGGTTGACAAGACTTCTTGAGCCTGGCTGTGCCAATCTTTATTCCCAATTCTTGCATTCTGAGCGAAGATGTGGAAGTGTTGTTCCCAAAATCCTCAGAACGTCCTACCTCTCTAATGGTGTTAACAATTTTGGCATGATCCATGGGCTGGCTCTGTGTAACTGAGGCAGAGCCGGCTAATCTGTCGGCTCTTTCATTGCCAACAACACATGAATACCCTTTCAGTGGAGTTTTGCAAAGATAGATTGTATGATGGTATTAAAATATTCTATATGACGTCAAAGCATTCTAAAAATATTTGATGAAGTTGAATTATTTTTTCAACTTTCTTATTTGCAGGAATAATTCTACGCTACTTTCTTTCATCATGATCTTCTGTCTTCACCATAAATGGACATTGATACATTGTGTTGCAGTTTACAAGTAGACTGAGATACCTTTGTCTTTCAGCCCAATGCATCCTATTTGAGTGGAATTTTAGTTACTTCCATTCATTACCTAAAGTGAATGTTACAACCACTTGAATAATATTTCAGAGTGACCATAGAAATAAATGAATGTTGCAAACCTAGATGAAATTTATTATTTCTGTAAAATTTAATACAACTAAAGATTACTACTGAGAGACAGTAGGAAGTGATTGCAAGTACACCATTTTACATCAGTGCTTCAGTTTGTCTCAACTGTTCTTTTGTGACTTGAGGTCTGTGTGGTGCAGTGGGTAAGCTATATTCTTCATGAACTGAAGAGTTGTAGGTTCAGTTTTTTAAATTCCCGTGTGGGTTCCGTGGCCCCATTGTGGAGAAAACAAGAATAGACCCACTGCCTGCCCAAAAGCATGTCATAAGAGTCAACTAATTGGCAGCTTCCTTCGAGGTCGGAGTACATCTGCCTGAGAGTCAGGGAACCAACAGTCTGCATGCAAATAACTCAGACCTGTGAAATGGATGTACATGAAACACTCAGTTTCCAGAAGTGGTCGAACAACCAGAACTTTTCCGCCGGAGTTTACAGCCGGCGAACGCAAAGAAGAAGATGAAGACGTTTTTTTTTCCCCATGTATCCGCTAGTTCATACATTCAGATATTTTGGAGATCTTTCAGAGGTTGTTTCTGGACATTGGAGTCAGGTGCTTTTGTGCAGCATTCTCGGCAAGTAAACATCTGCTCTGAGGAAAGAAAGAAAGTCGTATGAGATGAAAGCTTTTTAAATCAGTACCTCTGCATAGGTAGGGTTAGATCTGTGACCAATAAATGGTGGTAGTTGTCAATAATGCAGCAATGAAGGAAAACAAAATATGCCTACCTGATCATGTCTGTGTCATCTTCCAGCATTTGAAAATGGATCACCAGAGCACATTAGACAAATGTGAGAGGCTGGAGAAGGAGATGAATGACCTGCTTCTGACTGGCAAGGACAACAGTGAGGTAAGTGGTAGGTTTGTATTCTAGTGGGATTGCTGTAGTAGTCTGTGTTTGCCTCACTGCAGAATTTGCTTTATTTGGGGTTATCAGTAGTATGGAAGTTTATTTTGTTTACTGTGGGGTTATCAGTAGTATGGAAGTTTATTTTGTTTACTGTGGGGCTATCAGTAGTATGGAAGTTTATTTTGTTTACTGTGGGGTTATCAGTAGAACAGAACTTTATTTTGTTTACTGTGGGGTTGTCATTAGTACAGATCTTTATTTTGTTTATTGTGACTTTGTCCATAGTATGGATCTTTATTTTGTTTACTGTAAGGTTCTCAGTAATACAGATCTTTTGTTTTGTTTACTGTCGGGTTGTCAGTAGTATGGAAGTTTATTTTGTTTACTGTGGGGTTATCAGTAGTATGGAAGTTTATTTTGTTTGCTGTGGGGTTGTCAGTAGTATGGAAGTTTATTTTGTTTGCTGTGGGGTTATCAGTAGTATGGAAGTTTATTTTGTTTACTGTGGGGTTATCAGTAGTATGGAAGTTTATTTTGTTTACTGTGGGGTTATCAGTAGTATGGAAGTTTGTTTTGTTTACTGTGGGGTTATCAGTAGTATGGAAGTTTGTTTTGTTTACTGTGGGGTTATCAGTAGAACAGAACTTTATTTTGTTTACTGTGGGGTTGTCATTAGTACAGATCTTTATTTTGTTTATTGTGACTTTGTCCATAGTATGGATCTTTATTTTGTTTACTGTAAGGTTCTCAGTAATACAGATCTTTTGTTTTGTTTACTGTGGGGTTGTCAGTAGTATGGAAGTTTATTTTGTTTACTGTGGGGTTGTCAGTAGAATGGAAGTTTATTTTGTTTACTGTGGGGTTATCAGTAGTATGGAAGTTTATTTTGTTTACTGTGGGGTTATCAGCAGTATGGAAGTTTATTTTGTTTACTGTGGAGTTGTCAGTAGTATGGAAGTTTATTTTGTTTACTGTGGGGTTATCAGTAGTATGGAAGTTTATTTTGTTTACTGTGGGGTTATCAGTAGTATGGAAGTTTATTTTGTTTACTGTGGGGTTATCAGTAGTATGGAAGTTTATTTTGTTTACTGTGGGGTTATCAGTAGTATGGAAGTTTATTTTGTTTTCTGTGGGGTTGTCAGTAGAACCGAACTTTATTTTGTTTACTGTGGGGTTGTCATTAGTACAGATCTTTATTTTGTTTATTGTGACTTTGTCCATAGTATGGATCTTTATTTTGTTTACTGTAAGGTTCTCAGTAATACAGATCTTTTGTTTTGTTTACTGTGGGGTTGTCAGTAGTATGGAAGTTTATTTTGTTTACTGTGGGGTTGTCAGTAGAATGGAAGTTTATTTTGTTTACTGTGGGGTTATCAGTAGTATGGAAGTTTATTTTGTTTACTGTGGGGTTATCAGCAGTATGGAAGTTTATTTTGTTTACTGTAGAGTTGTCAGTAGTATGGAAGTTTATTTTGTTTACTGTGGGGTTATCAGTAGTATGGAAGTTTATTTTGTTTACTGTGGGGTTATCAGTAGTATGGAAGTTTATTTTGTTTACTGTGGGGTTATCAGTAGTATGGAAGTTTATTTTGTTTACTGTGGGGTTATCAGTAGTATGGAAGTTTATTTTGTTTTCTGTGGGGTTGTCAGTAGAACCGAACTTTATTTTGTTTACTGTTGGGTTGTCATTAGTACAGATCTTTATTTTGTTTATTGTGACTTTGTCCATAGTATGGATCTATATTTTATTTACTGTATGGTTGTCAGTAATACAGATCTTTTGTTTTGTTTACTGTGAGGTTGTCAGTAGTTCATATCTTTATTTTGTTCACTGTGGGGTTGCCTGTAATGCAGAACTTAATTGTGTTTATTTTGTTGTTGACTTGACTCTAGAGCTGACCATACAGAACCTGATTATGTTTACTCTGCAGTTGCTAGAAGTGTACAGTTTGATCATGTTTTTTTAAGGAGTCAGTGATAGTACAGAACTTGATCATGTTTTTTTAAGGAGTCAGTGATAGTACAGAACTTGATCATGTTTTTTTAAAGAGTCAGTGATAGTACAGAACTTGATCGTGTTTTTTTAAGGAGAGTGATAGTACAGAACTTGATCATGTTTTTTTTTAAAAGAAAAAGGTCCTTGACTTGCTAACTGTCTATGTACTTGTGATTGCCAGGCTGTGGCCTTGAAGAGAAGCAAGCATGAGCTGGAGATGAAGATCCAGGAGCAAGAAGAGGAGCTGGATGATCAGGCAGGGCAGATTCAGCAGCTGGAGCAGGTTAGTCAGAGATCAGCAACAAAACATCAGCTGTAAACATTGCTGTTTTGTGTGTTTGTGTGTGTGCATGCATGCATGCATGCGTGAGTGTGAAACAGCCAAGACCTTTATGTGGTCACATTCTTTACAGACATATACTTGGCACTACAGTTGTTGTTTTCTGTGTCAGCAAGTATGAAATTAACTTGTAATAATTTGTCTGCTTCTTATATAGGTCATGACATATGTCTATAACAGCCTTTATACTGTACGTCATTTTCAGTACAAATGTTTTTCCATACTATGATGTCAAACATCAGACATCTTTGTATGCCTCTCTTACCTTCCAGTTTTTCCACTCTCACAGTCTAGTCCAGCTGTTTATCCTTGTGTCATAGACATTGCACAGGTGCAAACAGAACCAGTGCCATTTAATCAATTCAAGCAGGGACTGGTCAAAGATGTAAAGCCTATATACAGATGTCTGATACTGAGAGGTGAAGAAAATTTGCTGGCGAACTACATAACTTGAATGTCCACATGGGCATAGAAATAAAGGAAGACCAAAAAACACTGAAAAGGGAGCTAGAGAGTCAAGTTAAAAAGATGGGGAGGACATAGGAAGAGCTGCTTGCGATAGCAAAGGATATGACGACTTTGCATGAGTGGGTTGAGGGCCATTGGGGGAATTAGAAAGGCAGAAGTACAGATTTCTCAGGGGTATGTAAAGAAAAGCACAGCCCAAATATGAGATGACTTCGGACGACAGGGTTAATGACAGTGACTTTGATTTTGAAAACACCACAATGTCCCGGGCCTTTGAAATGTATACACTGATTTACGGGCACTACTCTGAACATCAGAAAGATGTGTTGGGACAGAATACTTCACAAAGTGGTGAAGTTCTTGAGTTCTTGATAGATTCTTGTTAATCAGCCAAAGAATTCAGTCTGTGACCAGTATCCATAAATCCAGCTGTTGCAGTATAGTATCTATCTACAGTTTTAGAGAGGCAAAAACACTCTTGAAAAAACTATGAAGATTAACACTGTATATTTATTGCAAACCTGCCTAGCATCCACAGGATACTGAAGAGTTATCAGCTGCACTTTGCTCGTTACCTAGCCTGCATGCCAGACTATTGCCTCCCAAAGAGAGTATTTTATGGCAAGCTCTAGCAAGGGAAGACGTCCAAGGAAGGACAGAAAAGAGCTATAAGGACACTCTTAAAACTTCTTTCAATTCTTTTGACATCAACACAGCGAGGTGGGAGGCTGCTGCACTGCTTAGGAACTTTCCAGGCTCATATTGGACTTATCAGCCACCTTCTTACTCATAATCAATGATCATTACCACTTTGGATGAAAGGTGGTCTTCATCGCTCGTGATGAACAAACAGCATAGCAGAATAAACCTACTCTAAATGGGTCATGCTGACTGCCACAAGTGGTTATAGAGCATTGAGGCAGAATGCTGTGTGTCTTGCAAGATGCACAGACCTTTCTAGTCAGAGCCTAGAAATCTGACTGGCCACATGAGCACCCCTGCAAGACTAACTGGGGAGCACCAGTGAAGACCTCAAGTGCACCGTGCTGACTGTGCTCCCATGCTGGTATAGATGCGTTACAAAATGCTGTTCAGTGAAGAAGACACAGAAGCTGGGTATTTCCTTGTTGCCCGACATGGTTAAAACAATTCTAGTTGTATCCTTTTAATGTGTTTCCTTTGTCTTGACCTGCTCTTACTTTGAGTGTCTGCATTTAGTTGCCATGATAGTTTACCTTGATAATTGTCACATTCAGTAATTTCTGTGCTTTGATATTCTACCAGGCAAAACTCAGACTTGAGATGAACATGGAGAAGCTCAAACAGCAGCATCAGAAGGACGTAGAAGAGAAGGATGGGGAGATAGAGGAAATGAGGTACAAGACACAGAAGAAGGTCAGTGTGCAGTATTTCTCACTTATGAGTTGATCTTTTAGATTAAATTAAAAGGCAACGGTAGTCCAGTAGCAGAAACTGCAGTTGAAAAGGGAAGTTTTCAGCCTTTTTCAGTGTTGTTCAACCAGGGGTCTACAGAAATGTTGTAGGGTAAGTCTTCTGCCTAATCATAAATTGGCTAAATGATTCCGCAGCTAAATTGCTGCATAGATGTTCAAGCCTCTATGCAGGAGCAGGTATCTACTTGCTGAATATTATAATTTTGTGGCATCAGATTTAACAAATAAACTGCCTTGTTATTTTGTTTTCTGTTCGTTGGTTTGTGAAACAGATTCCCTGTTATGTTGGTCCAGGGGTGTAAACAGGTGGAAGAACATTGTTTTAGACTACAACATATTGCCTGTCCTTCCTAGACATGCAAGGCTGCAGGGTTGTATCCCTCTTCATCTGGCTTCTGTGTCTAGATATCTCTGACATTGGAGACCCAGCCAGAAGCTAAGATAGTATATAATTTTGGGGGACATCGGAATACACAAGCCTCTTTACTACACCAAGCTGGAGAGATATCAGAGGGTTATCAGGATTATTCTCCAGAGAACAGCAGCAGTGCAGTGGCTAGCATACTTGCCTGCTGGCCCATGGTTTCTGTGTTCAAATGTCAACTAAGCCAGTTTGTTTTTTGTTTAGCTGGGCTTCCAGCTCAGCTTAACCCAGCCTAAAATGGGAACCAAGGTATCTCCTGGGGCCTAAAGGTGGCTTGAATAGTATTTACCACCTTAGCCTTAGAGTATCTGGGTTTTTTTTTATTTTTTTTTTTTATAATGTGATCTTTTTATAATCTTTTATTATTCTCCGTTGTCAAGAGAATCTTCAACTACTTTTGGAATATTTATAGCTGTGTATATTATAGCCTGGCTAATTCAAGAACTTACTCGTTGGTGCTTTTTGGCACTAGATTTTATAATACTATAGGTAACTTCACAGGCTAGGTGGGGTTACCACCCTTTGGGAGCAAGTGAACAATAAGGAAGAGTGAGCAGATCTTCATGGTCTGAAGAAAATGGTGCAGTTGGTGGGGACTAGTGCAGCTAACGAATACTCATTGCTAAGAGGAAAATCATAAACTCCATATAATCAAGGCTGGAACTGTTGGTGTAGAACCTCTCTTTACTGGCTGCTGAAAAGCTCTTGTGAGATTGTCCTTAGTGCTGTAATGCCAGTTTTTAAACACAACACAACTACTGTAGCAATGCCACAGCTCAGCTGTTGTTTTGTCATTTCAGCTGAGGCAGTTGGAGAGTCAGCTGGAGGAGGAATATGAGCAGAAGAAAAGGTTACAGGAGGAAAAGTCACAACTGGAGAGGCAGTTGCAGGCTTCGGATACAAGGGAGCCACACAGAGACAGGGGTAAGATACGTGGGCACGTATGTGCACAAGAGATGTTGAATGGGCAGTCAAGTGTTGGGTCGTATGTGTGCACGAGAGATGTTGAATGGGCAGTCAAATGTTGGGCCGTATGTGTGCACAGGAGATGTTGAATGGGCAGTCAAGTGTTGGGCCGTATATGTGCACAAGAGATGTTGAATGATGAAGAAATAGTAAAAGGAATAGATCTAATGTAATAAGCTTATGTTAAACATTATCGCTTTTGTTGTTATCATAGTTTCCTCATATGGGTTTCAATGCCACTTTTGGGGAGGCGGGAGCAATTATATTCACTGTGACTTAATGAGTATGTCACAGGAGATGGCCAGTTAAAGGTTTGCTGAAATCGGATGTTTTCTGTCACAAGGCACAGATATTGCAGCCTAGCTGTAAATCACAACACACTCTATCAGTGCTTTAATAATGATGAACACAAGGAGAAGACTCATCATCATCATCAGGATGCTAAATAGTATGAGGACTGGTATTGATGTCATCTGATCATGTCACTCCACTGGCTTTATTTGCTGTCCACAATCACACTCACACACTCTGTTTCTCACACACATACTCTGTCTCGCACACACACACACACCCACACATACTCTGTCACACACATACACTCTCTCTTTCTCTCTCTCACACACACATGCACACATTAACACAGCGAGAGAGTGTGCATTTAAGAAAAAAGAGATGGCAGATTGATAAGGAAATAGATCTGATGGAATGGATACATGTTTTATAAACTGTCAGTTTCTTAAATTGGTGCGGTGACATTGAGACATTACTGAAAGAACAGTTTAGTTTTACTACAGTTTTTGTTTTTCAGTTCTTAATAAACCTGTTATTTGAAGAAAACATACATTTGTCTTTGGCCACTAAACACATACTCTGAATATGTAGAATCAGAGAAGAGGCTGAGACGCAACTTAAGAAGAACAAAAGCCCTATTGAATGATGCCGGGGCTGCCTTGCTGAAGCAGAAAGATATAGAAGGGGCAAAGTCTCAGATTTCAGCCCTGCGAAACCAGTTGGAAGATGCACAGTTTGCCACCTCTGCTGCTGTTAAAGCCAAGAAAAGAATGGAGTTAGAGATGCAGGAGTTGCAGCAACAGCTGGACGATCTGACAAGAGCCAAACAGGAGGTAATGACAGTCTGTGTTTAGACTAGATTTGTAGTATATTGTTCATCAACCAAACAGGAGGTAATGACAATCTGTGTTTAGACTAGATTTGTAGTATGTTGTTCTTCAACCAAACAGGAGGTAATGACAATCTGTGTTTAGACTAGATTTGTAGTATGTGTGTTCTCAACCAAACAGGAGGTAATGACAGTCTGTGTTAGACTAGAGTTGTAGTATGTTGTTCTTCAACCAAAACAGGAGGTAATGACAATCTGTGTTTAGACTAGATTTGTAGTATATTGTTCATCA